AAATTGTTTATTTTTTACTTAAACGGTCTATCCTTATTTATTTCATGGAATACCTAGTTATTTCATAGAATAACTAGGTAAAGTAGGAAATTTTTCATATATTATATACTTATATAAATTGACTTGTGTAGTTATTTCATGAAATAAATGACTTATACACTTTTACGGTAACGTATATACCTTTCCAAAAAAATTTCAAACCCTTTCATTGTGCGCTGCTATCTATAAAACTATTATGAAGGCTAAGGATGCAATACAATGACCTTGTCAGTGTTTGCGAAGGATTTAATTATTTCAGAAAAAAGGATTATGTGAAAAACGGCAACACTGGGAGCCAATAGTGAAACTTTCCTTCGGAAGTAAAGAGAAGTACAGTGAATAATAAAATCACGGAAAAGTGAAAAATAACATTCAAATCAAAATTTTTGAATGATATGAATGTTTTAGAGTTGAATGTCTTAATCCTTCATTTGCTGTTTTGGTGTCTTAACCCCTTAAGCCAGAGGTACTCAACCTTTTCTTCTGTTGGGTCGTCAGCTATTTCACAGCTACACATGTCAGCTATTTCACTCGGGCCGTAAACATTTGTTCGTAATTTCATGCGGGCCGCAAACAATTGTTAGCAATTTCACAAGAGCCGAATAATGAGGATAAAGAGGAGGGGTTAATGTGAAAAATTTATCAAAATATTTTAGCACCTGTGATTTGCTTTTTTTATTAAAATTTTTTATATTTTTGAAGTTATACTTCTTTTGGGGCGTTAGAGAAATAGGATGTGAAGGTGAAATTTTACGATGCGCTTGCACACCGTCACGAATGCGAAAATGCTTTGTCTAGAAATATACAGAACGTTACAGATCATTGCCGCCTTCGAAATTCTCAGGAAAATATTTCTCTTCACTTCCCTGAAGAGGGGAACACCCGGGCTCAAACCGAGGACCTCTCGATTAGGAGTCGAATGCTCTACCACTGAGTTATATCCTCCGCGCTTGAGAACCTTTGCTTTGCGCTGATTTGTGAGTCACTACTAGCAGGAAAAGATCGTCTTTCGTATACGGAGCTTCTCTGATGCATCTGTTTGAACACTTTTTGTTATTAAACCAGTGCTTCTCAAACTTTTAAGGGGACATGGTACGATTTACGCAAAAATTTTTAATTGAAGGATTTTTAATATTTTTTTGGTTGTCTCCTATGTATGTACACTATGTTAAACATATTTTGTGCTAAAAAATTCATAAAACGCTAGCCACGTAATTTTTTAAGGAAAAAACTTGAAATTTTTGAAGTGATTTTAAAATGCTACTCCTCCTACAAAAATTGACATACACGCATGAAATTTGATTTACAAGTACATCAAACTATGTATAATAAAAGTTGGTATGGGTTTTGTGTTAACGTGATTGGTATTCTTACAATACTTCTTTTTATGAATCTTTATTGAAAATTCCTTAAAAAATGTATAAATTCTGAGTTTAATTATTTTTTAAAAAATAAATATTGCTTTGATTCAAAAATGCATACCAACTTTTGTTACATGTACTATTGGAAATAGGTAAAAAAAAATTCAAAGCATTAGGCGCAATAGAAAAAAAGCCTTAGCATTTTAAATGACGACAAAATAGTTATTTTATCTTTCTGAGGTACGTTAGTTTAAAGTTTTGATTTGCCATAGGGATGTGAATAAAAACGAACGTAAAAGCTATCATAATTCTGCGTTTTTTAAGTTTAGAGCTTTCATATTTTGTGAGGTTATAGAGAAAAGTATATAAAGAAAAATTTAGGCTAAAAAAATTAAATTTGATTTTTTGACCGATTTTGGTCAATTGAATTGTGACGAAGCATATCTCTTTCCCCTATTTTCCAGCAGACCTCTCGCAGAGGAGTAGAATGCTCTACCACTGAGGTATACCCTCTGTGTCTGAGAACCTTTGCTTTGCGCTGATTTGTGAGTCACTACTAGCAGGGAGAGATCGTCTTTCGCCTACGGAGCTTCTCTATAATGCATTTGTTTTAACACTTTTGTTATAAAACCAAACATACTAACAGGAAATTTAAAAAAAAAAAATTAGTAAATTAATCTTTAAATTGTATTTCATGTACATAAAACATAAGAGTAAATATTAGTTTACCTATTTAAATAACAATTGCAAGTATATGATTATAGATGTATTTACTACGAACCAATTGCAAAGAACATAAACACATTTATTACATTGTAGCAAATAATAAGAGCCTTTTGTATTCGTATATTTATATCTGAACTTATCCTTCTTTTTTAGGCGTTAGGGAAAAAGGATAAGGGTAAATTTTTACGATGCGCACGCACACCATCACGGATGCGCGCGCATACCTTAACGACACCGATGCGCTCGCGCACACCGTTGTCTAATATTTTAACATGTCACTTTTTTGGTGCTTTGGGTTTTATATTTGGGTGATCATAATAACTATTGTTATAAACCATATCTGTTGGGACGCATCCTCCCTGTGCATTCCCCCCTTTACAGCTTTATGGCCAATAGCTCGGCAACCGAGTCTCACAGTCCCTTAGGACCTGGCTCATTCGATTCCTCTCTATCTGCTCTTCCAGTTCTTATAATTAAATACTCATAGGGCTATTTCCTTCATAGTTTTTAATTGTCTTAAACTTTTTAAATTTGTTTAAATTCACAATATCTTGGCTCCTGTTAGAGTCTCGGACTTGAGATTTGAACCAAGTGTTCCACTCGTTGAGACCCATCCAGTCATCTACGTCATTTTCATTGTGTTGGCATGGGGAGAGCTTAAGCTCTAAAATATTATGCTCTCATGTTAATCCTATGGGGACTAGAAAAAATTTCACCCCCCCGCCACAAGGAATTAAGCTTGGAACTTGATTTTCGGAGGTCCGCCATATTTTCGTATTAGCGTGAGCTTTACTTGGAAATGGCTCCCTCCTCCCTTGGAATAGCCCCTTTCTTCAGAAATAACTCGAATCCTATGCCACCTTGGTTGACCAAACCGGCTAGATTCGATTGTTTTTTCTATGAGCATCCTAGATATATTTTTTTCAGGACCACAGCTCCATTTCTTTCCCATATTTAACATTTTAAAATTATTTTAAAGTTATAATTTTTTTTTAAATTCCGCATAGCTCCAAGGATTTTTGAGATTCGTTAATGAAACTCGGACCATAGATTCTCCTCGTTGATCTGTTTCATCTGTTATAATTCGTGTGTAGATAGTGGGCTTAAGGGGTGGTTGTCACTAAAATTAGAATCCCTATGTTTTTCCTATGGGTTCGATCTTTTGATGACGTAACGATATGACAGACATAGAAGGATGAAACTTTGGGACAGCCTACTACTCTGTGTATCGTTGGGATGTACGTGACCATTTACGCCACAGTTGTTACACTCCGGGGGGTGTTAATTTCATTTTCCTTTCTTGAGCTAGCGCCACCCCATTTGCAATTACAGACTCCTGGCTGGTTTTAATGGATTCCTCTTGTGTTTGCTCACAATCAGGTGCAGTTTCGAGTTGCTTGGTGCCCTTCTTCTATTTTATTTAATTGTTTTAAATGTTTTAATTATTTTTAAATGACCATAACTCGGCGGCTCTTCAGGCGGATGTCTTAATTTTTTCTTAGGAACGATTCTTCCCGCCGAGACATTCAATATGAGGTCTCAGATGTCACATTCGGCTCACTTCATCTCCAGATACAGTCTGATACCCCCATGTTATTGGTCCTATTGTCGCTGAGCGGAAGTGTTTAAATTTATTTAAATCATGATTATCTCAGGTTTGACTGGTCCAATTAACTGAAGGTTAGTATCGTTCATTTCTGCTCGTGATCGCCTTTCGCCTTTGGCCAAGCTTGCCCTGCTAAAAAGTTTTAGAAAGATTTTAATCTTGTTACGCCAAAGAAATATAACTTCTTACTTGCGTACATAAGTACACACACACTTTTCTTTACTTTTGTCACTAACACTGAATTAGAAGCATTTAATAAACATTGCTTCACAATTTCTGCATCATTAAACGGTTTAATATGATTACCAATAATATAACAAACTTCAAAAGATGTCTTTGTTACCGCTGTGACATTACCAATGATAAAACACTTTGTTGCTGTTGCAAAGATTGTTGAAGAAATCTTATTTATTACCTCTAGAAAGAGATCTTCGAGGAAAAATTTCATCGAATGATTCCTGTTTTTTGGTATTTTTTAAATACAGCACTTTCATGACGAATCAAATATTTACTGATCCATATTTGTTTCTCACCACAAAATAGTTAACCACCCAATCGTCTTGAAACGATACATTTTCCTCGAATATTTTTCGCTTGCAAGGTATGAAAGATAGTTAAAAATTAGTTCCATCCATAAAACTGTTACTACTCCACTGTTGTCTGTTATCACTAACCGTAACCGTTACAAATAAAAAAGAATATCAATTCTCACTCGTACGACATCAACAGCAAAAAACAAAATTGATATATATGACTTCTTGACAACAAATTTTTAATATATTGTTCTTAAATAAGTTAATTTTTCAGAGCAATGGGCACTGACCGGGCCACTTAAAAAGGCTCGGTGGACAGCAGGTTGAGTATCGCTGGCTTAAGCGGTTTGCCTGTCCGCTGTACTGTCGCTGATATTTTCTTTCTTTGGTGTATTATTTAGAACTAGTGTTTTGAAAAGGTCTGTTTCTGCAATCTGTCTGAGGTATATATGTAAGGATAATTAAATTAGATTAAAAATTAAATTCCCTATCTAAAACTTCACTTTTATTTTTTTTCCCTCACCTCTTCAAGAGTATCAAACTAATCACCCATTTATTTCTTCCGAACATATGGCCTAGACAATAAGCATGTCTAATTCCAGATCGTTATATTTAATATCCGTATATGTCAGCATTAACTTTCAAGAGCACTCATGAACGCCGCAATCGGTGTTTTAAGTTTTTAACCCACTTAAGATTTTCGGTGGCGTTCTTTTTTCTCTCTCTTCCTCTTGCGGCAGAAGAGATGTACTCATTCTAGAATAAAGACCTTTTTAAAAACTAAGTCTGTTTCTGACTTCAAATCACATTTCATATATATATATATTGACATACTATTCATTCGGCATTTTTTTATGGTGAAGGATAGAATTGGTATAGTGTTTACTTATATACAATAAAAGAGTCCAGAGTGCAGAGTCCATGTCAGTGATTCTGCAGCACTTCACCGCGGCACTTTTGTGTGCCACCAAATGATTTAAAACTATTACTCAGGGGAAAAAAAATCCGGAACCAAATATTTCAGCCGTTTTATAGAAATAAACTAAAAGTATTCGTGGTATATTTAACTTATCTTTTCGTGGATAGATGTGGATATTAAAGGAAAAAAAAAATGTCGGGCTCGTAACTTATTTGTGACAACGGATACATTTGAGTGTGATTTATTCATACTTTATTTCATTTATCATACACGCAGAGTTTATTATTATAACTGATTGGTTTCTTTGAATTTTGGAAGATGAAATAATTCTGTCCAAGCATTTCGAAGACATTAACAGAACTAATAAAGTTATTTTCGATGTAGTGTTTTTCCTTTCCTGCAGGAAAATATAATAAATAAATACTTCAGCAGAGGGAAATCTGATACTGATTTATAACAAGAAACAGTTTCTCCGAACATGTAAATGCGCAGCTGTAGTTACGCATCCTAACTAGACTCAACTAAAAGAAGTTAGTTTCCTTATTATAAGGTGAACCTTGAAAGGTAATGGTAGTAGATTTTCAGGGATATAGATTGGAATGAAGGATTTAATTTCTTTTTTTTATACATTTTTGAAAATAAATAATTTCTCAAAGACATATCTTAGTGCAAAAAGCTATCTTTCCCCCCAAAACTAACTTGTTTCCTGCAAAGCACTAAAAATGTTCGAAACAGCCCAACATGGTTTGACTAATAGTATTCATTATTCACCATCATGTCAAAGTTTCTAAAAATCAGAAA